ACACCATACTAAGTATTCTCCCACAAACATCCATACACAATTGTCCAATTGTTTCCTTAGAAGTGGCATCGATGGGTCAACGAGTATATAATTCTTAAATGCCTTAAATAAAACAAAACAAAAGCAGGCTTGCCGAGATGGGAGGGCGAGAGAGGTATTCTAATAACGGAAAAACACTGTCGTTTAGGCCCAGGCAAACAAAACGGCCTTGTGTCGGCCTTCTCCCCCGCCTTTCTCTCCCTCTCATCTACCAGGAAGCACGTCTGTCTCACTGATAAGAGCAACTAAATCCTCTTGTGCAAAATTCAGAGTCAAACACAGAGTGTCCGTGAGACAGAACTTGGGGTTTCATCTGGAAGAGCCACATGAAGGATCAGCAGGAAGCGGCTTGTAAAAGGCAATAAGCTCCTGAATGGCTCCCCTGAGCTTGCCACTTGGTCCCCCTGGTGTGTGGGGGCACACAGGCCGTCAGCTGGATGAACCCTACTGAGGACCCGCTGCGTAGGGGACCGTGAAGTGACAAGGGCATGCCACAGGAAGGAGAAGATGCCCACAGCCCATTCGGAAGCCTGAGCAACTTACAAACAGGAGGACAATCACAGATAAATGCAGACACACTCAACTGGCCCAAACGTATACACACAGACATAACCAATGATGCCAAAACAGAGACATTCTCGCAAGGGCAGCCACCGGGCCGAGAGGAACTTGCAAGAGATGAGTTTTTACAATGCTGCATTAGGTACAGAAAAAAAAAAAGAAGCTGAGAGAAAGGGCTCTCGGCCCCACCACTTGCTGGCAGGGTGACCTTGGGCAAGTCCCATAAGCCCTTTATGACCTGGTTACCAAGAAGCTCTAAGCTTAATCACGGGAACCCGATTAGCTCTGGGTTTTGGTAGTTTGAGTTTTCCTTTCCTTGCTGTGTTGTTTCAATTTCTATTTTCATGATTCTTCTTTCTAGCCCACCATTCAGTGATTGCCTACCATCTGCTAAACACTGTCCTGGGAGCTTTCATTATTTCATACTCATTTAGTCCTAACTACACCCTTGAAAGGTATGTATTATTCTTACTTTATGCTCTAAATATGCTGGAGGTCACACGGCTGACTGGAATAAAGATGGTTCCTGGTTTTATCCTCATGGCACAGAGGGGTTAGTAAATTCGTTAAGGCTGAATGCACACATGAATGAATAAATTAAGTTGTTGACTCCCATCTGAACCCATGAAATTTTCACTACATAAGACTCCCTTCTGCACGTGTCTTTTCAACATAATTTATCTCAGAATCTGTTCCTTGAAAATCAGATATACATCAAGAATCAGAAATGAACAGGACTCACAATCCATCTGTAGGGAGCAGTGTGACAGTCACAGTGCCTGGCCCTGGGCAGACTCCCAGCAGCCAGCAACTAAACGGTTAACGCCCAGCTCAGCAGGGGACTTCCAGGAGCCTCCTCCAAGGCTAGGGCTATCTTAAATTCTGAGGGGCTGGTGTTGAATGTATAGAGTATCACTCCTAGAAATAAGTAACTTAACATCCCAGGACTACAGTTTACTCATCTGTACAGAATATTCGTTTGTTGGCCTAGAGCTAACAATTTAAATTTTCCTCCAGAAAAATCTTCTGTCATCCCAAGAGAAGAACTAGAAAGCAGTGATGAAGAACACCAAGGGTGCCTGGGGGGCTCAGTTGGTTGAGCATCCAACTTCAGCTCAGGTCATGAGCTCAAGGTTCATGAGTTTGAGCCCCATGTCGGGCTCTCTGCTGTCACAGAGCCTGCTTCAGATCCTGTCTCTGTCTTTCTCTCTGCCCCTCCCTGGCTTGCAGGCACCTCTCCCCCACCGGCCTGAGCGCTCTCTCTCCCCTTCTCAAAAATAAACACTAAAGTGGGTCACCATGAAAACAAAACAGAACAAAAGAACCCCAAGTCCAAAAGCAAGTGGCAAGCAATGGATAGTGGTTATTGCCTTAAATCCCACGTTAGCACGAACTCTCACGTTTATCTGAACTTCTGGGTCCCGTAGAGCACTCGGTAAATCCCAGGTTTCTTGCTCCTTCTCACCAGCCTGAGACAGAGGTTGGTTTTATTGTTGTTGCTGTTGTTTTAAAGAATCTGCGTTTGTTTGAGGTTCCCAGGATACTTCTAAAGTGTACTCTGGGCTACCAACCACTGCTCTGGGGAGAAATCCCTACAGGTGAATGGATTGATACTGGTAGAGGATATTTTCTGCTCCGACCAGAGAGGCTTCTCCCACCCCCCCACCTACTTTCACTCCCTGTGCACAGGCTACCTGGTTTTGAAGGTCTCCAAGACCTGCCACTCTGTTCCTCTAATGGCTGCTGGTGAATTGTGCCATATTCCAAAGTTCTCTCCAACTGTTCTGAGCCTCATGCATCTGTATTCAAACAAGGGTTGCAGAAGCAGCTGGAAGAGAGAAACCAGAATGGCAGCAACCCGTCCAGCAGCAACATTTGGAAGAGCCGATCAAACTGCTGGGCTCCTGATTCATCAGGAGTGAAGGAAAGGCAGCCATATTGGTCCCTGGCAAGGACAAACCAGAAGGAACACTAAGTTGGCACCAGTGATTTGGATGGTGGCACACAGAGGCCGCCAAACCAATAATGACTAGAACGCAAATAACTCCTGTGAAAACTTGAGGCATCTTCTCTTGTCCTCCATCTGCACCTTTCGAGAGTCCCCTGTTCTGTTTTCAACAGGACTTGACAGTGACTCGTCCTCTAACCCAGGAAACCAAATGCCCGTTGACTCAGGTAACTAACTTTTAAAAAACAAACTCTGAGGGTTTTCTGAACGAGAGCGTCAAGTAAAACTTCTCTCTCTTTCTGTCACAGCCAACACGCGCACGCGCGCGCACACACACACACACACACACACACGTGCACAGACAAAATGGGTCACGGGATAAGACAGACATGGGCTGTCATGATGAAGTAGCTGTGAGACCTGACCCAAGTTGCCTCGTCTCTGCTTCTCTGCCAGGTACAATGGGAGTAAGAATGGCACCCGCCTCATAGGGTTGTGGTAAGGATTCAGGGAAGTCGTGAAGGGAAAGGGCTTTGCACAATGCCAGTGCAGAATAGGACCTTCATAGCCAGAAGGTTTTTGTTTGTTGGTTTTGTTTTGTTTTAAATCTTGGTTTGCTGCCACTTTAGGGCAGAAGAATGTCACCAGGTGCCATTGTTCAATAAACTGATCAATGAACATACCAGTTGGGTATCTTTCGAACATATATTAGTAAGATAAAAGGGGAGGAATCACATCTTTCCTCTCTATCACACGCTATATATAGGTTTGTACACATATGTAAGATGAACACTTGCTAATCTGATATGGGAAGTCAAGAAGCAAAGGACACTGTTCTTACGAGCGGGGTCCAAACAACGGGACAACGTCTCGCCGCTAAAGTTAATGGCAGCCAGGAAGGGCGCAAGTTACTGGCACTGTTGCTTCTGAGCACACCGCTCCTTCCACCGGCTCTCCCTCGCCCTGGCTCTCCAGTGAGTCTAACTGACACGATATTTCACTTATATTCCATTTAGCCCTGGCAGTGGGAACACGGTGCGACATGAGCTACCACACCACACAACTTATGACTTGACTACTCCAGGTCGTAAGGAGCCAATGTTATCTTTCGCTGAAAGATTGCACTTTAGAAATCACAATTCCAGGACGCAATAGGATACCACCGTGTCACAGCAGAAGAACCTGATACAGATACAGGATGAGATAAGGACTCACTTGGGAAGCATTTTGGGAACCCCCTGCCGGCTTTGAGCTCTATTTCGGAGATGCCAGAAAGACCCTGGGAAGTTCTATGATTTGGAGAAGCAACTTTTAAAAAATAAAGAAGAGGAAGAAGGATAAAGTTTTAGAAACAGAAAGTCGGAGGAACAACAACAACAAAAAGAGTATTTTAACAAACATCCTAAAACAGGATCAAACTGAAGGACGATCTTTTTTGTTTAATTTTTTTTTAACGTTTATTTATTTTTGAGACAGAGACAGAGCATGAATGGGGGAGGGGCAGAGAGAGAGGGGAGACACAGAATCTGAAACAGGCTCCAGGCTCTGAGCTGTCAGCACAGAGCCCGACGCGGGGCTCAAACTCACGGACCGTGAGGTCGTGACCTGAGCCGAAGTCGGACGCTTAACCGACTGAGCCACCCAGGCACCCCTGAAGGACGATCTTTAGTGATAAGCTGAGAAAGTGACCAGGCTTCAAAGACGGTGAAGAGTTGCCTCATGGCTAGAGACTGAGCAACACACACAGCATAAGTTTTTCAAGGTGCCCAGAATGACACATGTGTGACAATGGCCAGGCACATTAGCGCAAAGCCTCAAGGAAACTGTCCAGCATGGGCAGGAGTCTAGGGGTGGGCATATACGCATTCGACGCAAACCCAGATATGCCATCTACACTTCCATTTGCTTATTTCCCAAAGTCACAGAGCAACGGCGAAAACCGAAGTTGATGGGAAAAATTCCTATAAACACACAGAGGTTTTTCGGAGTTCCACTTGTGAGACTTTTTCACTTTTTCATAACCCTACATGGTTAAAAAAAACAAACAAACAAAACCAAATCCCTCATGAACAGAAAACACCAGAACACCCGGGAAACACGAGCGATGGCTGATTGAGGATATGGCCGCAAGAGCCTGAAGACGTTACTAACGCTTGACCCTAAAAATCAGCAACTTCAACGAGAGGCAGCTTTGCCCACAGAGAGCTTGAAGCTAGTTGAGCCTGTACCCGAACTTGGTGAGTTCCCAGCTGTGCTACCTTGGACAACTTACTAAACCTCTTTTCAGCTTCCACAGCTGTGCCATGGGGCTATACGTACCTCGCTTGAAGACTGAATCCAAGACAACGTACGTGGTAGCACTTTGCAGCCTGTCAAAGAGCTACGTGTTTGTAGTGTGGCCACTAACCCATCTCGCAGAGCTGGGATCTCTGCTTAAGTGAGAAGGAAATACCTGAGGTGTCACACGCCTGCCTTCCTGTTGAGGGCTCTCTGTGCAGGATGCTGTGCCTATAGATAATGTGGGGTTTGTTTTGTTCCTCTTCATCTTCTTGTTCATCAAGGGACAGCAGTGGTTCAATAAAATAATCCCCATCATGGGACCGGAATGTGCCCAGCTGCAAATGAAGAGAGGGGAGAGGTTGATTTAATATAACTCAACCAGTAGGAGGGAAAGAAAAGCAACATTGTCAAGTAGACAAGGTGCCGTTTCACCCAATCCCTTCCCCATGAGGGCTGCTTGAATGGAACTTGCTGCCGACATATTTGGAGAAGCAGTTTATTTTCAATCCGCCAGGCCAGGTCCGTACCTTCTTGATTTGACTCTATTGCAACTGCTATCCAAATCTGTTTCTAAGAAATCCTTCCCTGGTGCTCAAATTCTCATCACACTCACTTTTAAAGGAAAGAGAGCATTCTTCTTTGTGTTAAGATAGCCCGGACACTTAGGGAAAAGTGTGAGCTTCCCAGGGAAAAGCTGACCTGTGGAGGCCTTATCATTAATTCAAATTCAGAGAGCATATACTGATCACAGGCACTCCACGTGGCGCTGCCTGTGACATTGGCACATGAGCGTCTCTGCACCCCCTCCCTGTGCAATAGGGAGTGATGCCTGGAGTCAGGATGCCTTAGGTTCCCAACGCTGCCACTCACCCATCCACCCTGGGCAAGTTCCTTAATCGCTCTGAGTTTCAGCTTCCTTGTTCATCAATTGGTGATAAAAATACATACTGTAAAGCCTGACTGTGCAGAATAAATGGGATAATGCATGGAAAGTGCTTAGCAAAAGGACCCTTTGTAAGGGTCCACCTTAGTGGACCACCTTAGTGGCTTTTTGTGTTGCTGTGTTAGCCTCTAACCGCCAGGACAGAATGTGTGTGGGGCACCTGGGTGGCTCAGTCCCTTGAGCGTCTGACTCTTGGTTTCAGCTCAGGTCATGATCTCTGAGTTCAGGAGTTCGAGCCTTGTGTGGGGCTCTGTGCTAACAGCTCAGAGTCTCGAGCCGGCTTCGGATTCTGTGTCTCCCTCTCTCTCTCTCTCTCCCTGTTCCCCACTCATTCTCTCTCTCTCTCTCTCTCTCTCTCTCAAAAATAAATAAATAAACATTAAAAATATATATAAACAACTCTTGTGTTCTCTGAGCACACAGCAGGAAGCTTACTATAACACGTGAAACCTACCAGAGACAGGTCATAAAAACTAGGAAAGAACTTGGGAGCTCATGTGATCTGACACCTTTGATTAGAAAAGAGGAGATGAAGGCCCAGAGGGAGGAAGTGACTTGTCTAAAGTCCCTCTTCAGTGATACAGAAGCAGCTGAATCGTGCTTCAGGTTGAATCTTAATAGTGTCCAGTGCTGAATCTAGAACTCAGGAATTTGGATTTTAGTCCAGCACCTTTTTGGAAAGAACTTTGAGGGGCGTCTGGGTGGCTCAGTCAGTTAAGTGTCCGACTCTTGATTTTGGCTCAGGTCACAGTCTCACATGATCTTGTGAGATTGAGCCCTGCCCTGGACTTTGCGCTGACAGCACGGAGCCTGCTTGGGATTCTCTCTCTCTCTCTCTCTCTCTCTCTCTCCGTCTCTCTCTGCTCCTCACCCACTTGTACCTTGTCTCTCTTAAAATAAATAAACTTTAGTAAAAAAAAAAATTTTGAAAGTCTTTTTAGGAACAGAGATTCAGTCTCTGGCCCATGGTTAGGAGCATGGGTCAGAAAGATAAGGTGGGAACCCCAACTCTGTCACTTGGTAGGTAGGAGACCTCGGGCAAGCCTCCAACTCTCCAAGCCTCAGTGTCCTTCCTCATCTGTAAAATTGGTTGTTTTCAGAACTGGGCTGTTATGAGGATCTGGATGGGATGAGATGATGCATACAAAAAGTACTTATTACAGTGAAAGACACATAAGAGTCCAATAAATGTCATCCTTACGAGGTCAAATTAATTTTGTTGTCGATTCAGAGAAGAATGTTTGATCAAAGAGTAGTCCTTTCTTGGTTAAAGTGACCACTTATTCAAACATAGGTACTAAGTACCTACAATATACAAGGCTCCAACAGGGGAGAGAAAGGCACTGATGTTGTCCCTGCTGCAAAGGAGGAAGGGATAGATCATGTGCACCAAGAACCACAACACAAGAGAGAGCATACTCAGCATCATAAGAGAGGTACAGATAAGTGTGTGTGCAGGTGAAGAGGGAAAGAGAACAGTGGCTGAAGGACAAGGTTTCCCAGGGAAGAACCTATGTAAGTTACTTTAAAAGAAGGGTAGGATTTGAGCATGTGATGCTGGGGGACATGACCGAGTAAACCCAGAGACCCAAAGGCAATGACATAGGACTGGGGTGGGAGAGAAACTCTGAGAAAATCTGCAAAAGCAGATTGCCCGATACCCAGAATTTGTGGAGGAAAGCCTGAGAGATGAGCCTGGCGGGTAGATGTGCAAGGCATGAGGAGGGATGCCGTAAATGGTCTCAAGTGTCAGATGATGAAATCAGTAGTTGTTCACTAAGCAATGGGGAGCTATGTAGAGTGAGTGAACAGAGGAGTAATGTGATCTTATACCTAGTCACCCTTAATCTGTTAGCGGTGTTTGGCAGGGATTAGAGAGGGAAGACTGGAGGAGGACAGACCACATGGAAATATTTCTGAGACAACAGTCCTAAATGAGCAAGGGGCAGAGAAGAGAAGGAGGTCTAGAATTAGGGTCGGGCCTGTTCAGACCAGCGAGAGACACATCAGAGATGGAATTCAGGAAAACTGATAACGGACTGGTAGGAGGGGTGTGTGTGTGTGTGTGTGTGTGTGTGTGTGTGTGTGTGTGTGTCTTCCGGGTTGAGGGGAGGGGGAGTAGATTGGCGTGGTTCATTCTAAAGAGTGAAAGAATTCCCGGGTGGAAATATTTCCACTAGGAACGCCATGATACTTCCGGTGCAGAAACGGTAATGGGAAGTCTTGGGAGGAAAGATAAATTCGAGAAGGGAGACAGAGGGATGAGGTTTTTGGAGCTAGGTTAATCCCTGAAAGAAACAGCCAATGCACCTATCCTTAAGATGTGTTCTGGACCTTTCCCTCCCCAGAGAGGCAGATTGCAAATTAAATGCAATATACATGGGTTTGTCACGGTCTATACAATCATTCTAAAGTCCCGGCCGGCCCTCAGTTCCCTAAGAGAGTTACCAGTTGCTGTTCTACGTGCGAGATACCACCTAAAATTGGCAACAGAAATTAAGGTCCTGCGCAGCAAAGTATTTATACAACTGCTGGGGCCACTCCGCGGGGTGTGGAGGCGGAGAGGGAGGAGGAGTGAAGGTTGTTTACAAACTTTACGTACATACTCAGCACCATTCGAAAAGTTCTGGAATTGGTGTTTACAACCTTCGGATCTAGGGGTGTTCTGATGACCTGGGTTCCAGTGCCTGGTTTATGCCCACCCCAGCCATAACCTTCGGCAGAATGGAAGGATTCCTGCGCTTTGGCCCTAGGTCTTGGGGCGGCGATGACTCACGGCAGCACCCCCTTACCCCCCCGCGCGTCAAACTGCCGTCTCCGCCCACCCCCAAACAATCTCAACGACGAGCCGAGCCGCAGCTCCTGGCGCTTTGCTGGGGGCTGGAGGGGCTCATCGCTGTGCTCGTATCCCAGCAGGCTAAAACCTTCCCAGTCCTACTCTTCAAGCTTGCCTCGTTCCCCCACCGGACCCTTCCGTTGAGCAGTGGAGACAGATGCGACATCCCAACCGGGGACGCAGGATCCACCAACGACAGCGCTCGGCAGGGGCAGCCAAGTGGCCCGGTAAGTTATCCGTGCTCCCCTTAGAAAAGGTGATGGGGAATGTGGGTCCTCAGGGGAAGAGTAAACGCATCATGGGGGGGAGCAGTGCGCACAACGCCGTGCGCTGGGAGAGCCTGACCCGGGAAAGTTTCTGCGTCACACGCGCGTGTTAGGAACGCACATCGTTTGGGAAAGTCAAGGATCACTTTCGCTGGGGTCAGAACTTTAGAGCATGTCTTCAAATGTGCTGGGGAAGAAAGCGAATGCCTTATCGGACCAACTGGAGAGCAAGTGGGCAGGGGAGGGGAGGTCAAAAGGGGGTCGAGGCACCCTTTGGGAAACCCTGCTAAGTGCGTATTTTGCAGCGCAGGGAGGTGGCCGCCTCGCGCCTTCTCGCTCTCCTTCTGTAGGGGAAACGTGCGGTGTAGGCTCCGTCTCTCGACTCTCTGGAACCCGTATGGGTGGCAGAAAACCCAAAAGAACCTAACTCTCGTCCGGGCAGCCTCTGCGGGCTCTCTCCCACTATTTCTGTTTCTTAGGGGCTACCCCGCCAGCAGGGTGCAGAGTCGGACTGCGCCACACCCCCACTCGGAGTTTTACCCTAATTCAAAGCGTCCGGGGCAGGCTCCGCCCTCTTCCCCGCCTCCGGAGTCCTTGGCCCACCCTTCCGTTCCTGGGACGGACCTGTTCCCTGTCAATCCTGTTCAGCCTCAGGGTTCCTGGCGCGTGAAAAGAGGCCCAGAGAGATCGCAGGGACTCTAGATTACGCACCGCCCTCCACGACACACAGAAGGAACTCCCCATACCCGAGGCTGGGGATCCTCAGCCCACACCCCTGACTCGAGACGCGCCAATAAGGAGTCGGGTCCTGCCTGCGCTCAGCTGCTCCGCTCCTGGGCGGCTGTGTTTGCTACAAGGAAGGGCAGGCAACTCTGGAGTTTGGAAACCGACTTCCAAGCCGCCTGCTAGCGCTGGGCAAGGAGCAGCGGAGCTCGGTTCGGACTCTAGAAAGCTCCAAAACACACGGAACCCCTGGGAGCGGATGCGTGCGCTCCTCTCCAGTGTAAGCGCACGCACTGGGCTAGTCATCCAAACCGCTGGATGCAAACTAGCTTCCAGCGGGCATTTAGAGCCAGACTGGAAACTCGGCGCAGTGAGGGTCTTAGAAGAGAGAGCAATGAAGTCTTCCAGAAACTTGTGAAGAGGC